CAGGAATGCGCTTCTCTCTCCAGCGCCGCGAATGGTTTAGCAGTCTAGTCTTCCTGGCACACATAGGAGAGGGATGGAGGACCAAGTGATTTCAGGGCAGTCTTAGGGCTGAAGATTGGGGAAGAGCGCACTCACAAATTCCTGCTCCGTCCTCTGATGGTAAGATGTTGTCCCTTGGCTTGATCTGAGGTGGTCATACTGTTCCCTGACACCATTGCCTTGAAAGCCCAAGGTAGAAATCATTTCCTTTATCCTTCTCACCCTCATGTGGCAGGACAGCGTGAGCTGCTCGGCTTACTGCAGTGGAAATGGCAGATCTACTCTTTAGACCATCCAGATAACTGATTTAAAGAAATGTTTTCTTCTAGTGACTGTGCTAAATCACTGCTGCTTCATGCCATTTCTGCTTGTACACACAGATGCAGAATAAGGAGGAGACAAGGAATTTCTGGAAGAGAGACCTCAAACCTCGAAAGCTGGCTTTAATTTAAATAAATTCAAGTTTTGTGTTGTAAAAAGAATCAGCCAGGCGACTTTCGCTTAGCACGTGAAAAATCCAGGATAATTCCTGCAGCAGTTTGCAGAGGAAGTCTCAGGGCAGTGTCTCTGAAAAGGCTGGTGGAAGATGTTTAATGTATAGAGCCCTGGTTAAGTCTCCAGAGTATGAAGTAAGAAGGTCTAGAGAACAGGTACAAGCACACATAGCAAACCTGTGCCTTTGCCCGTCTATCAGATCTGACTTTGAGGCAAGCAGGTTGTCTGTTGTGCTGGTTCCTTACTGTGTCTGGGCCCTCTGCTAAGATCGAGGTAGGTCTTCCAGAGCCCTTGCTGCCAGAAGGCTTTCTGAGGGCATGTCGCCTCTGGGAAGAGCTGCCCCAAGTCACAGCTCCCCACTGGTTGCACAGGGGCCACGGTGTTTCCAGTCAGCAGTAGTGCTTTATCTTGTGTATTAACAACACACTGCATGGTGAAGTGGATACTGAACTGGGCCTGGGAGCAACACCCAGTATCATTGTCCAAGTTGATGTTCTGTGTAGATGCTTCTGAAATTCATCTGTGTGTTAAAAAGTTTCCCAGGCGTGTCAACTGCAGAACGCTGTGCTTGCCAGATGTCAGCTTATCCCCTGCCAGTTAACCATCTCTACTTGGCTGGCTCCTCTAATGGTCAGGAAATGGCTCAGGGAGTGTTCAGACAATCCAGATGAAACTTTGGTGGAAACATTTTAAAAAGGAAAATACAATACATGATACATATGTATTTCTTAATCAAGTTGATTCCCAGTGCAGTAAGTCCCTATAGAACAGTAGCGTTGCATCCAGCTGTCTTCCAGTGTGAGCATTTGAAGGCTAACTCTTTCACAGGACATGTACTGGTAAGCAGGAAGAAGGCAGAGACTGAGAAATATTTGTGACCCGAAAGCCTCCAAAACCCAGTCCAGACAAGCTTTTAGTGGTTCTTGGCAAGTATCAATTTACGAGATTTTAGTGCTTGCCTGTTAACCTGGCTTAGCACCACCTGGGGTTTCCTCTGCTGGCTGGCACAGAGTGGCCTACAGATCTGCCTTCTCGGTCCGATACCTCTACTAACGAGGGTTCAGAAGTTAATTTCTGCTCCAATTGATCGAGCTTTTCACTAGCAATAAATAAGAAAGCTTAGTCTAGTTGTGTGTTTACACTGTGGCCACACATAAACGATTTAACTTGAGGTAGTTTGGAGGTTTATGTGTGTTCTATTTTGTTTTTATCAGTACGCTCATAAGTGGTGAATGTGCTGTTTTATTACCTAAACTGGGTCAGTGCGTTATTTTAGCTACAGAGTTATAATATGCAGCGTCATTCTAAATTGCCAAATATCTAGACTACGTAAGGTTTTATTACGAATTTGCTTTTCTCTCAAGATAAAGAGTTTCAAGCAGAGTAGAGGTGATTCATTATATTTTCTTTCCTTCATAGTAGTTAAGTCTGCATAGCTTACAACATCTATATGTTATTTGTATTTGTCATGTAGTGTCTTCTGTAAAACTTTTAGGACACTTATAGGCATTATAAAATGACAGCAATGCAAGAATAAATGCTGGAATAAAATGGCATTTGGACCCAAAAGCCAATAGGAGCATGATTTCCCATTATCAGAGCATACATTCAAAGCAGAAAGCTATCCTTTAATCTCTCAGCAGAGCTTATTTTAGCCTGGAGCTCTGCTTGGCGGGGTTGTTGTCTGAATGTGTTTTGTTGTTAGGTAGGAAAGGGGCGTGCTGGATGAATGTGGAAGTCAGCAAGTGACTCAGCCTGGCTCCAGTGATTTGCATGCAGCTTTTTTCGTTTGAAGCACACACATGAAAATGGAGCAGAGAATGCCCCCCACTGCAGAAGTATGATTTATGGCAAAGGCTTTTGGAACAAGCAAAGTTCTTAATACAACTGTTTTTTTTCTAGAGGACTTTATATACTTTTTGTCCTAATTTGACCTCTGTGGGGATTGGTGACAGCTGCTCTTGACACAGTGTCCTGACAAATGGGGGTTGCTGTTCTGACTGGTCTCGCTGCCACTGACACAGATGCCACTCAAGACATTCCATATAGAACAATTTATGTAAGACGGTCGGTTTTGTCTTGTGTTTACCATGTGAGCTAGGAACTCTGGGTTTGCTGCGCTGGATCACGCACTCCTTATTTTTACACTTGTGTTTCATAACAGAAATTTAGACTAGAGATGCTACCCTCTCAAAATGAGCGTGCCTAACACTGGCTCCCCTGGCCCGCGCTGTGTGATGTTTCTGGGGCTTTTGTAACAGCCTTTGCGACTGCTTCCTGGAATGCAGGAGGTAGTTCTTGGTCATGTTTGATTATCTTGTCTATCACAGCAGTCCCCTTAATCTGGTCCTCACAGCAAAATGGGGCATAAGGAGCCATCCTTTGGGTAACTTGCATGTCAAAAATGTTTGCGTCAGGAATTGTCTCCTCGTGTATTTACATTCCGCATATAACAGAAGGAGACTTTGGTAGTTGATTTCTTGATGCTGGCATTAGAAAAGTAGACATCATCTAAGAAATTCAAAGTAGTCTCACTTAATTGTTTTTGATAAGAATCATAGTAGGATTGTTACTGGTTTGATCTGTAAGTCGTCCAGTCAAAGACTCTTAACATGTTTAAAAATATAAATGTGTTGTCCCGGTCTACCCTTTAGGAATTAGAGCTGGTGGAGGATGTCTGGAGAGGGGAAGCACAGGACCTTCTTACCCAAATTGCACAGCTGCAGGAGGAGAATAAACAGCTGATGACAAACTTGTCTCACAAAGACATTAATTTCACAGAAGAGGAATTTCAGAAGCATGAAGGCAAGTTTGATACTTCAAATTCAGTACTTGCTTTTGTTATAAAAAGCAATACTTTATAAAAATATTTTGACTGGATATTCTGGCTTTTTTCTTATAGGTTAATGCAGGTCTGGATTTTGGAGGTTTGTGGTTTGGTTTGGTTTTTTACCTAAACAGAAAAATCTTAGAATACATGATAACACTGAAGATGTGGTGAGAGGTGGGCATAGGAGGGAAATAAAAGCCTGAACAAGTTTGGCTGAGAAGCATCTCTGAAAGTAAAGTTTAGCTTCATTTTTTTGTCTATCACTTTTTTTTTCTTTTTAGTTTGCATTTTGCAAAAGACATTCTTAAGCCTTCCTTATGTTTTCTAATAATCCATTCAGCAATGTTTATTTCACACCATTATGCACAAAAATAAGTGCAACTGTTGATCTATTCACAATAACTGTTTGTGAAGCAGCAAATCAAGATGTCTTTGTGTGAATTATATCAGTCGACCATCTGGAGATGTTCTAGGAGAATGTCATGATACTCTCCTGGAATAGGAGAGGCTGATTTTACTTGATTTACCTGCCTTTAGGGCTCCCTCACTTGTTTGGGGCCTACAGTCAATTTAGAATAGGTGAAGAGATTTATAATGCAGGGAGTGGGTGAATCCTAAAGAGTTGAAACAACCAATTTGTGGGCAGCTTCTTTCCTGAGGCAGAGTGAAGCTCAAGACATAGGATTCCAACTTGCAAGGACAGGTAGATTTCACTGCAGCAACTGCAACAATTGCCATCCTCAGCTCTCGCCCACAGCTCAGCAAATAGCTCTTTCCCAAGAGCAGGGGCAGATGAGCCGCTGTCTGTTTGTGCCACAGTTCATCATTTGAGGCTGCTGGGTACCGAGTCCATTTCATGGTACTTTGCTGGGATTTAAGCTGAGGAGTTGAAAAAAAATGACTGTGCAGCTTTGGGGATGAGGCAGCCTTGAGCTGAGAGATGGGGCGGGCAGCTGAGAATGGTAACAGTGTCACTCCAGCAGCAAAACCTGCCAGTGATGGTGAGTCGGTTGGGAAGTGGGTGGCTTTCTGAGCTGTTTGTATGTGGACGGGACTCTGGTCCACTGCTTCAAGCCACAGCTCCACTTTCACTGCAGGTTCTGATGATCAGTAAAGTCACAGCTCCCTCAAAAAGCTAATGTCCATTGTGTAGTGTGCAAAGTCACTGGCCAGTCTGAAAACCAGACCACACAGCTGAGCTGTTGCAGCTCTCCAGTAAAGCATTAGGACCAAATGGATATCCTTTTCCAGACACTGGAGGCTGGGATTAAATGAAGGCTTGCTGTAGGTGGATGAAACTCTGTCCAACGCTGCACAAGTCGCACATGCTTCCTCCCAGAGGCCGAGTACTGCTCACTTGCCCTGGGGAGGAGTATAATGAAATCTTCAAAAAGTAAAAACTGTTAAACCTCTCAAGAGCACCAGTTTTTTTAAAACAAATGCAACGCTTTCAATTTTGAAGTCAATTAACGGCAAAGTAGCTGCTCAACATCAGCCTTACAAACTCCATGCAAAATTTCAGAATGGCAGCGATGAGTCACAGACCATGAAGACTATGGCATCTTGTTATAAAGAACCAACTTCCCCTTTGTTTTCTCTGCTTTTTTTTTTTTTTTTTCCTCTTCTTCCAGTGGGTATCTAGCTCACTGCAGCTCATGTGCTATTTAAATATAGCCATACTCTTCACATGCAGCTAGCCAAGCAAATGCCAGGCATGCTTTTCCTGTTATTTTTACTGTGTCTACCCAAGTATAATAACAAACAAAACCCATAAACCCATTCCAGCGATCAAATTCTGGGATCACTGGTACTCTTTGGCCAAAATTATCAGTTTAAGTCAAATCGCATTAGTTTATAGCAATGTTGTCTTATTATTGGGACCTATTATATCAAACCCAACTGTTTTCCTTTTAGGAAATTTTCTTATTAATGAATGGGGGTAGATTTGTCTCAAATGACTTGTTTGGATAGCCTCAAAAAGCAGTCATGCTGCTTTTTTTCAGTCTCCATCGTTTGATCTGATACATGTAGAGTCTACAGAGGCAGATTTTCCAGCTAAATACTTTGTTAGCTGGACTAACTTTGACCAGACTCCAGTCAGCACAGTTCAGTATCGTGGTCATGTCTCCCCTTAGCGGCTAGCCCCTGGGATTAACAGCGTGCTGCTTACTCACCAGACAGTTAAAAGAGTTATCTTTAGCACAGTCAGCAGAGGCCAGTGATTTGGGTGTACAAGCCTTTGAGATTCAATCGTTGCCAATTAATAGTCGCATCAGAGTTCACAGAGCCTCACTTCAGCATAACGAAGGTGTTTATGAGAGAGGCAGATGCGATCCTGTCTAAACAGGAGTGTTCTGCACAGAGGGCGTCTGCTGAGAGTCTGAGCAGAGCAGGGTTCATGTGAAAGGACAGGTGGCAGAATGCAAAATACACAGGAGGGGTTAAAGATGAGTCTGCAACGTCCATTAATGCTACTCCGCCCAAGCTCAGGCTGAGCACTGCGTGATGGTGCTGACTGATTGGAATATCCTAGTAATACGCCCCGAGCAAGCCTGACCCAAGGTGTGTCAAACAGGAGAAGCAGGCTGCTGTTCCACTGCAGCCAGGGGAGCTGCTGTCTCAGACTGGCTGTGGCAGTACAGACCAGCAGTGGGATGTCAGCAGTTGTGTGAACCTCTTGTGCTAGGCTGCTGACGAACCTACAGTTCCCTCTCAAAAGTGGAGGCAAACGTCTATTCTGAATATTTAGGTACTGGCATAGTGCCACAGGCCCTGACTGCCGCTGTGACCTGTTGTGATAGATGTTGTATGAACACAACAGTAAACAGGGCCCTAAACATAAACATGAAGGATGTTCGTGGGGTGGGGTGTTTTTTTTTTCCCATTTCTTTTCTGTTTTTTTTCAGCCGCTTTGCTTTCTCTTGCTCGAACAATGCTATGATCACAGCAATCCACAGGAATTTGCTCATAGGATGTGCCTAGGGAAGCCAGCTGGGTGTGCCATTGAAGATCTTGCAGATATTAGACTTTGAATCATTTAGAGATAATTACTTTACATTTAGGGCACTTAGTGATTTCCCTCTGCTCCTCCCCAGTGCCTGAGGAAGTAGAAGATGATGTGACTGTTTCACAAACACTTCCCACCTTTCCTTTCCTCTCCTCTTAAAATGAAAAGGATAATATAGTGATCTGTGCACACAACTGAAGTCTTTTACGTTCACCAAATGTCAGGGAGAAAAATGAGCACAGTGGGAGGAAAGGCAGTCAGCACCGAAATGGTACTTTTTTCTTTAAATAGCACCTGCTATCTAGAGATCTCAAAGCATCTCACAAGTACTAATGAATATAGCTGCACTCACTATTCCTAGCTCCTACTGGGGTGAAACCACCAGTCTGAAGTTTCACTGCAGTCCCTCTGTACTTCAAGGCAAAGTTTTGGATTTTTTGGTTTGTTTGTTTTAAATACAGCTGATGTTGTAGGCCCTAACCCTGAGGCTGGCTGCAGAGGGTGGATCCAGGAACCTGTAGTGGAGTTTGTGGCTACAGTAGTGTGCCAGACCTGTGTTGTGATAGGAAAGCGTGGATCTTTTAGAAGAGTGAAGTGGCAGTATGTGTCCGTGTCCTCTTGTCCTCCCTGGTGGGTATGAGCTGTTAGCGCAGTGCAGAATTAAAATTATCCTGCAAAGAACTGGAACCTAGAGCAGAGAGATGGTAAGGACCAGGGTCCAGAAATAGAGCAGGCAGACTTACCACAGAATTAAAAAAGATGAGAAGGTAATACTAGAATGTGAACACCATGTCACTCAGCTGTTTTCTGGTGTTTGACAGGAGCACATTCTCTGAACCAAATTCCTGGCCAGCCACGATCACCAGTCCTTTTTTCCAGCAGAGCAGTTACCTGTTCTCTGCTGTACTGTAGCTCTGGGGGATTCTGTGTCCTTTAGCGGTGAGGGATCGGAGCTGGCGTTCCCTCTGTTTGCAGCAGTACGCTTTTTATGCCTGCATGGGCACCCACAGCTGCTGCAGGAGTGCACATCCACCAAGAGTTACTCCCTTTCTCTCAAGTTTGTCTTGCTTTACTGTATTATCCATCAGTTCAAACTGTAAACAATGTCAGCTGGAGTTCCTAAAGGCGTGCAGCCTGCATTGTCTTATGGGAGCAGCTTTGGATTTCTCTGATGAGGGAAGAACATAACCAGAAAGTCTGAGCTGATGTTAGAAAGTAGAGACTTGACGGGCTGGATACATTTGATGTGTACGCAGCATACTTCTGATGTGGGAACTGTTTTGATATATTAAAAAGGAAGCGGCTTTCCAACCACCCAGAGGGATGAGTGAATTATCACCACCCGCAGTTCATAGTTGGAGGGAACTGAGGGCCCAAGGAACTAAGTACTTTGCCAAAGGTGATGTGACGAGACAGCAGTAGGCCCTGGATTTGAGCTTCTGCTTGGGCTGGACTTTGGCCAGAGCAGCCACACACGGCCCTGGTCACAGCCTTCCCTCTTCAAGCCCTCCTATGGGATGTTGGATAATGTGATTTTAGGTGATAGTTTAGGACCATCAAACTGCGTGTCTCTGCCGTTACCAGGAAGAGTTCGTGTAGTGGATTTATCATCTCACCAAGTTAAACCACCCTGTCGGTGTTTGCTGCAAAGAGCCCATCACTGTAGTACCAGCAGTTCTTGATTATCTCCATAATGACAAATAACGGAAGAATTCTTCCTATTTTGTGATTTGTGACATTTCCTAATGATTTGTTGGTCAGATTTCAGGTTGATCTAATCCTTTGTTTATTTTCAGACAGGATCAATGTTGGATTCTTGGCAATGTTCCAAACATCTTTCATAAGTGAAATGCCGTGTAGTATTCTTCTCTGAAGTACAATTATGCTTAATATGAATTATCACACAACAGGATGCGAAAAGGGCTGCAAAATGTAAGGGGAAAATACGTGACCATAATTCAGACTGAATTTTCCTTCTAGATTCAGGGTGTGGGTACTCTCTGAGGGTCCTGCTTCATCTCCTGTTCACCCATCACAAAACTGGGTTTCAGCATAAAATCATTCTAGTCCAGTGCACCTCAGCTGGTTTGGGTCTAACACACACAACAATGACATGTTTGGAACTTGATGAGGATCCAGACCATCTTTTTTACAATTTTCACAGGGTCTTAGCCAGCTGATTCTACAGATTATCACACAGATAGCCAAGCTCCCTGGGGCACAGTGTGAACTCTGGTGTAAAACTACTGAGGCAGCAAAATGTAGAAGCATCACCTCACTCTTACAAATGTTTCTGAGGACTGTCAGTTCCTTTTTTAAGGAGTTACTGTGCAGTGGCTTTATGGAGTGGATTGTGTCATCTGTGTTCCCTGTTATCCTTGAAGTAACCTTTAAAGCATCTTCCAACAGCTTCTTTGTAATTCTACCAGCAGGCAACTTCCAGAGTCTTTACATAAATATTTCTCACTGTTATTGTTCTCAGTTTCAGCAGCTTCTAATTGTCCTTAGTTTGTTTTCTGTGTTCTTTTATAACCAGGAATGTCAGAGAGAGAGCGGCAAGTCATGAAGAAGCTGAAGGAAGTGGTAGATAAACAGAGGGATGAAATCAGAGCAAAGGACCGGGAACTTGGACTTAAAAATGAGGATGTAGAGGCTGTAAGTGGCTCTTATTCTTCCTGTTTCTCTTCTTTCTTACCCATATTTCCATAGTCTGGCTTCAGGTTTTAAGTTAATGCAGAATTTGTAAGCAATGCCAGATAATTAGTCGGGTAACTGAAGTGTCTGGCATAGCTGTCGAGTGTCCAAAATGATTGGGCAGTCTTCAGTGCAGACACACACCCTCTGCTGCATTCAGAAGGACCAGGCACAGCTGGAACGTGACTGGAAACCAGTGTAAGGAGAGGAAGATGGGGGAAGGACGGGTTGTTTTGTTTGTTTTGTTAAAGACCTGATACCTCTTCCCTTCCATGGGAACGGGACAGGTAACTTTCTCTGGCTTCTTGAATCTCTCTCTGCTTTGGCAGTGCAAACTTCCTCAGCAGCCCCATGCCTCACCCCACCCAGAGATCCGTGCTGTGGGTGAGCAGGCTACTGTATATTTTACATATGTTCTCTGCAGAGTTTGGCAGCAGGGACTCCACAGCCGCACTCCCACACCAGGGATGCAATGCTGATTACCTCTTTGCACAGGAAGAGTGTAGGAGGACGGGGCCTGAGCCCAGCCTGGGTCACTTGCTTTTGCCAGCAGCGAACAGGTCACTGTGAGGATGGGTTGTCCTAGGGACCACAGCACAAGAGATCCAGGTTTAGTCTTAGATGAATCACAGACTCCACTGTGACTTTGGGTATCACGTGACGTCTTGGTTCTTTCTGTGTCAGGAGGAATGACCTCCTTACCCATATTTTGCTTCCCATCCTCTTGCTGCCTCATCTCCTGAGGCCATGGGACTCTTCTGGTGCTAGTGAGGGGCAGACCTAGAAGATCTTTGCTCTACCCAAGTGCCTCTGGCAGGTGCAGTGGCCTTTCGAATTGGTGCTGTCCACATGATGCCCAGCAGGTCACACCCCACCTTACGAGACAGCCTAAGAGCTGAAAGCAAAGTACTTATAATATAAATTGAATACTGAGGATTCCTCTGCCTTGTCTTTCTCTCTTCTACTCTAGGTTAAGATTTGATTCAGAATCCCATAAGCCACCCTATCCTTGAACTTTGCCTTTTTGAAAGATAATACCAGAAGTGATAGATTTGCTTTTAGCTGGAGAATTCCCTGTGCTAGGGGAAAAATGCCTCTTTACTCTAGAAAGCAATTAAATTTTCGTGACTGCAACTGCAGTAGATAGTTACATATTAAAGAAACTAATCTGGGAGTGAGGAAGGGAGAGAATTTCCCAGATTAAATTCAACAGGATCCCACTAGTTTTTCTTTAACATGGTGTTTGGGACTTGGCCATCATGGCTGATGGCTGAATGGATGCTGACCTATTGCATCAATGTTTTGCAGCTTCAGCAGCAACAGAACAGGTTAATGAAAATTAACCATGACCTGCGGCATCGGATCACTGTGGTTGAGGCTCAGGGGAAGGCACTGATCGAGCAGAAGGTGGAGTTGGAAGCATACCTGCAAACCAAGGAGCAGGAGATGGGCACGCTGCGAGCAGAGCTGGGGAAACTGAGAGAAAAACTGCAGGGTGAGGACAGCCAAAATGGGGAGGAAGTAAAGGTAAGAGACACTTCAAATCACTTTTTAAACAGCTTTTTGAAAAGCTTTGGATTTCATACCAAGTACCTCTTATTTGGATAAAAGTGATCGATACACATCAGAGGCAATGGTGGGATTTGAGGACAGCATCTTGCATTCGGGTGTGACATCCAGAGAGCAACATCACTCATTGCACTGTGACAGGAAGGGCCCCATTAGGGTGGGTGAGGACCCAGTGGAACAGACCCCTCCTTCCTACAGGAGGGACCCAAGAAGGCAGAGCGGTGTTAGCAGTGGGATGGCTGCACTAGAGAACAGCTCTCCCCTTAGACTTGTGGCTGCCCACCACATGTCCTAGGAAGTGTAACCTTTGGGTCATGCACTAGGCTGCGGGATTCGCCAGATATCAGAACAGATCATTGCTTCAAAAGAGAGTGTTCTATTAAAAACATCACAAAGCAATCCAGAATCTCTGCAGTATCAGCTGTTAATTTGTATTGGAGGCAGATAGTGTTTTGGTAGTGCTCTGTTAGTATGTTTGGCTTCATTTTGTTTGTACACATCAACCCCTTCCCCCAAAGGAAAACAAACTGATTCCTTAAACAGTCTGGGTTTTCCAAAAGATAAACAGCTGACAAGTAGCTTAAGCTTTGCCAAGTATGCAGATATGCAAGCCCTAATGAGTCCCAAAGGTGCAGTGCACTACGATGGTGGTGGCATATGAACCATACTAGAAAAGAAATTGTGTCAGAAGCGGTCCCAGAGGCAATGCAGAGCTCTGCACACTTGGTCCTTGCAGTGCTTATGGTACTTTTGATCTGTCAGGACTAAGCTGGTCTGTTGCTACCAAATCAACATAAAGATTTGAAGGCACCTTTTGGAGGAGCCAACTTTGGCCTTATTTCTGCTTCTGCTTCCTGTTGGAATTTGTACAGTGAAGTCTTACGAGCACAAATGTTCATGAAAAGCAAATGTTACTACTTGCACACTCGGGTACTTGCAGGAACAGGCGAAGTGACAATCTGCAAGTGGACTTGGTGCTGAGATCAGAGCCGTAGGAATGCAGACTTGAGAAAAAGATCCATCTCTGGTCTGCTGCATCCTTGAGTCCTCTTTATGGTTCCCATTATTTTTCTTTGTGCATGTGACACTACTTCTGTCTTCCTAAAGCAAATGTGCTGTATTTCCCTTCCCTAGGGCTGCTCTTAGAAGAGTACCAAGTAGGATAGGGCTATCATGATATGAAGGAACTTAAATGAGCACTATCGTGTAGAGGTGTTTGGCTGGATGTGTTGGTAAGAGCTCCAGTACCAAGCGTCGTTGTAAATGCCCGATAGACTGCAGTGGGGAGTGAAACAGCCAATTCACTTGTAGTAGGCAGGAATACACATCAGGAAGCAGAGGCAAAGGTTGACAGGGTGCCCTGGTCCCCCCTGGAATGTGACAGCCAGTGTTGTGTTAAAACATGTCGCTGCTGAATTGCGCAAGCACTGTATTAATAATGAAAAGGATGATTTCATTGCTGTTAATTCAGTCAGGACACCCAGCTTTGCAAAAGGGGCTGCAGAGCCTAGGCCTGGAGCCAGCAGGAGTGAAAGTGTCTTCAGTCTCTGGAGAGAAAGGACGCATTCTTTACCTCTCTCTAGCTCATCAGTTCCATGGCAATGGCACCTCTTCTAATTAGAGCCGTTCCCTGCTCTCTTTGCCAGGATGGTGGTTAGACAGGAATTGCAGCGGCAAGCAGAAAGCTAGAATAGCTGCATACTCTGGAATGGACATTGGTTGTTAGCTTCAGCCAAGTGCATTTGCATTGGCTACAGGCTGCTCAGTCTTTGCTGATTTGAGCAAAATCTAGCAAAAATAGCTTATATGGGCACAGGTGTGGGGAAAAAAAAGAGGCATCAGCTCAGACCCTGATCTAGAGGGGTGAAGAAGAGGAAATTCTGGGTAATTTCCTTTGAACCTCTTGTTAGGTTGCATCAATCTTTATTTATTGTAGTCTATGTAAAGAAATGCATTTGGATGAGTGGGGTGAATCAAACAAATGGACGAGTGAGCATTGCTCCGCTGCTTTGTCCTTGCAGGAGGACTGCTGTCCCTGCTGTAGAAATTGATACTGCACCAACCTTACTTAGCTCAGCCAAGTTTAACCTGAAGTCATGTATCAATAGCTAGCAAAACTGTTTCACAACCACATAAGCTTAAAAGAGGGTAGGATCAGCCTTACAAAAAACGGACTCTTAAGAATTTCAGTACTTAGCTCCTCAAATGTCCAGCTTGCATCCCAGCGAGGCGTCACTGCGACACAGGAGCTCAGAGACTCTGAGCTCTGCATCCTGCTAGGAGGGTGGGTGGCTGGCCTGGCTGCTGGCATCTCTGATTTCATGTGCTGGCTTCTAGTCAGTCCTTGCAAAAAGCATCACATTTCAAATGTACTTTGCTACATTTCAGATGTACTTTTCGGGAACAGAATGCCCTGCATTTACCTGTATTGTTAGAAATCCTGCAGACCTCTAAAGGCTTGTAGCTGCTTTTCAGCATGTTGATTCTGAGTACCCTTCCCAGAAGCTTGTGATTTCTCATTAACTGGTTCTCAGCTCTGTGCAGCCACGGAGTGGAGCAACAGTAGCGGACTTGAATGATGGTCTTCTGTGTGCTGTGTTTATACAGACCACATTTTCACAAGCGGTTAGGGCCAAATAGTTCTGTGCACGTGCTAGAGCCTGCCTGGTGAGAGGAAGCAGCCCCACAGGCCTGGGAATCCAGCTGTGTGCCTGGAGTGCAAGTCCTGGCTTGTTGGGAGCCGCAGAAACCGGGGGGTGGGAGGTACAGTTCCTCCATGCTTCCAGTCACCTCCTCAGGGGAACAGAAGAGACAAGGGTACCCAGGTATAAATGCCTCATCTAGCATTCATCTGCAGTTTTCTTCCACTTTGCACCTAGATTCTGGTGCTAACACCAGTCTGGCTTTTCTGATCAAGGCATTAAGGGGATAGAAACTTAAATCTCCACTTGGTATGTTTATGTCTAAAGGAGCCAGCTTTGTGGGAGGAGCCGGAAGGAACTGTCGTGATCTTTGCTATGCATTTTTTTCAGTGTTTATATAAAAGACTGATGTTTGATTTACCCCATTTGTTAAAAGTATGAATTCCTTAAACTGACTTGTTTATCAACAATTGGACTATGCATTTCAGTGGACTTTCTGGCAGTCTGGATTCCACAAGAATTTCTGCACAAGAAAACTGATCACCTGTAAGGTGGCTCAGGCTGGGCCTTGTGTTCAGGCCTGCTAGAAACCATTGGTTTTGTTTGTTTTCCCAGACATGTACCTCTGTGAAGGATTCCTGTGAGTACGGGGCTTTGATTGTGGGTCACAACACTTAGGTCTTCCCCCCAGCACATGGTGAAGAGAGGTAGAACAGAGCTCAGCCCATCTTTCGGAGGCTTGCCACGGTCTCACCAGTCCTGCGTGTGTCCTCAGTCAGCAGAGTGCAGGAAAGAACAAAGCGATCAGATCACCGAGCTGTTCTTGCTGACAGTCTTTAACATGAAAAACAAATTCCTTCTACATTTTTTTTTCCTCTTAAAATTGCTGTATTCCTCCTAAAAGAGGATTTAATAGTGCTGAAAGGAAGATGCTGGGAACTAGACTGCTAAATACTTTAAAATCCTCAGACATGCACTTGCATGGTGAATATAAAGACCATGTTTCACTTCCTAGACAGAACCAAACAATGATGACTGCCTCTCAGAGTCAGAAAAGATGGCAATGGACTTAAAAGATCCGAATCGTCCAAGATTCACCTTGCAGGAGCTTCGGGATGTCCTTCATGAGAGGAATGAACTGAAATCTAAAGTGTTTTTACTTCAAGAGGAGCTTTTGTATTACAAAAGGTAGGCTAGATCTCCTCTCCTGTTGCATGCTGTACACAGAGGAGCCATAAGGAGGTCTAGAAACAATAAATGTGGTCTTAAATAGCGTCCAGCAAGCTTTTATTTCTGCAAAGGCTTAAAGTAGAGATTGGAAGCATATGGCTTTGGTTTGAATCTGGTTGAGAAAAACTATGTCCTTCCCTAACTCCCAAGTTCCCCCTGAATCTTAGAAAGATTATAAACATGTAATGCTTTTGAACTTCAAAAATGGGGATACAAGTGGGTCTAAAATGAAAATTCTAGAACATTTATTCAATGTATTCCCCTTCTCCCTCTGCTTGTATTTTTGGGAAGAAAATACTGGAAGGAGACCCAGTTCTAGGTGCTGTTCCTTGGTTGACATAAAAATCTCCCATTGATTTCAGTGAGCTTGGAACAGATCTTTTTGCATTTCTTCATCAACAGTACTACCTCAGACTGAATTTTGAACTTAAAGCGCTTCTGTGGCTTGGGAGGAGAATATTAATTATCTTTTCTTTCTTTAAAGTGAGGAAACAGAGGAAGAAACTAGATCCCCACAACCTACACCCATAATTCAGTCCAAACCCTCAACTCAGCCTGAATCTGGAATCAAACGACTGTAAGTAGCATACTTTCTAAGGATACTGGATATAGTCTGCAAATTCTAAATGTTTCTTATGCATAGGATGATTTTAAAGAATCTAAAATTAACATAACCACATCCCTAATGCATATGGGAGAGACATTGGAGGAGCACTTGACAGGTATCATGAAACAGCAGCTGGCTTTGGCCAAAACTTCTGCCTAGATCTGGGACAACTTTCAATCTCGGATTATCTCCTGTGGTACCTTTTCGCTCCGTACGTGCAGAGAGCAGGAGGGAGCCCAGCAGTGCTCCGCGTGTGTTTGTGGGCCGGACTGGTGTGCCCCAGATGCCCACTGCAGATCTAATGTGTCCTTCTTAAGTACACTCTTCAGGCTAACCAAAAGAGCATGTGTTGCAGTGTTCTATCACAGCTGGTATGAGCCGGTGAGCTTTTAAACACAGACACCTGATCTTCCTAGCAAATTTTCTTGTCTGGGCTACATAGCCATACTCCAAAGGGAGGTGCTGCTAGTTGTGGTCTTATCCAGAGTAGCACTCAGCCTGTCCTGAGCGCCCAAAACTGGTCTGTGCTGGATCTCGGTGTCCACGGATGGCGGGAACAACGCTCCTGTGCAAGTCCCAGTTCCTTAACACACAGATCCGAAGGTGGTGGAGTGTCAGAAACCACTGGCCCCCAGGTCATGCTCGGTGTAAGGAGGGTTGTTCACAAGGAAAACCAGCTGCAGAGCTGTAGCAGTTGGGTGTGGAGAGCAAGGTTTCCCCATGACCTTGCTGCACCCGTTTCCCTGTTGACCTAAGCCTTTAGAACCCGACTTGCACTATGTGTACAGCACAAAAACCTTTTGTTTGCTGCTGGAGAGGATGCTAGCTTTCTTGGCTATAAAGATCCCCACCTTCTTCTGGTGAAGCATTTAATGGTGCTTTACGAAACCTAAGCTTACTGTCAGAGGTGTGCATTTACTAGTGTATCACATAATTATAAAATCACAGTGTTAGCCAATCCATTTGTCTGTTGAAACTCCCTCCTTGTACGTTTATTTATTCCAAGTTAAGTCTTGTAACCTTCTAGCAGGTCTTTGGATTTTTGTGATACTGGAAGCTTAATGTTATTAGCTGTATAAATGATTTTGGAATAGTCTTTTGTTTCCACATAAGAAGCTCTTCCATCCTGTCCCCATGTCCATAACCTTCAGTCCTTGTTTAATAACAGCAGCAGCCCCGTGAGAGTAAGTTCCCTGGGAAGATCTGTACTGATCCAAAACACCATAAAGTCAGGAGGGCACTTTTGATGATTTTCAGAAGGCTCCAGCTTCTGTCTGTGCTGCTTTGTTTGCTGAGAGAACCCTTCCTCTCAGATGACTAGAAAATACACTTTGAGTTGGGACTTAAGTTTTCATTCTGCAACTGTGATGATGATAATAATAATACTTTGTCGCACAAGGTCTCCACTGTAAAGCTTCTCTTTTCTTTGAAATCTATTTTAGTACTTTTTAAAGCTTATCCAATTGTGGGGGGGTGGCTGGCTTCAGCTTACGCAGTTTGTGTTGATTGCAGTTTCCATGCGTGATTTATGAAACAAAGGTGGCATGAAAACGTACATAGGCGTTGTAAGACAGAGCACGTGCTGACGAGGTAATAGCTTTGACTCTGCCCTCTGCACACAGGCGTAAGCAACACAGGCAGCCATGGCAGGAGACACAGAAGTGTTTTCAACCACTTATCTCGGTGCTTTCTTCCTCTCGGTTGATTTATCAGTGAAAACCTGTTGAGCATCAGACCACTCCGTCAATGCACATTTTCAGACACCTGTCTAATCTTTGTTTTTCAGATTCTGTGTTAAATTCATCTAACTAAACCCGCACACAATAAAAGATAAAATCCCGTTGATTTGGCCCCTTTCAGAAAAGGCAAAAGTTCTCTTCTGCCAGACGGTGGAAGCACACGTTGAACCTGCTGTTAAGATGAAATTACTTTCTCTAGCTGTCATGCTCTGTCCCCAGGTTTCTTTCTGCTCTCTCTTCATTTATCATCACATTAAATAAGGGAAGATAAAATCATCAACCTGAAGGACGGTAATAGTTTTCAGGTGTGACTTATTCTTGCAGCCTGTCTGGATGGGATTTGTCTAGTGTGGGGTTCTTCTCTTTCCCCCCTCCTCTCTGTTGTCAACAGTGTACTTGTAGATGGGCTTTAAAAAGACAGGAAATTTCACTGCTAGGAAGGGTTGCTTTTCCCTCCATTTCAGACTCTTCCTCCTGATATAAACAAAAAACTGAAGTACAAAAATAGGAGACACTGCTGCTCTCCTCTCAAGAGAAGTTTCATGCTTGCCCGTGTAACGTGCCCTTTTTTCCTTGACCACGCGGTACCTCAGGGAATGAGGCCTGTGTGTGTAGCCTGTGCCATCTCAGATGTGCTCAGGTGATTCTGTGCCACATCCTCATAAAGAAAGGAAAACAGAAGTTAAGGAAATCAACATTTTTTTCACTCACAGGGTTTGCAGGTTTGGGCAAACTCTGGAGTTCTGATCTCAGACTGACTGATTTCTACATTTGTCTCCACCACATCACATGTCAGATGTCTGATGAAATAATGTAACCAGGAGGCTTTACTGTGGAGGAGAAGTACAGAGATTAAAAATGCTCCCTCTGTTTTGAGCAGAAAACGCCCTTTTGTTTTCTCTTTAAGGATATGTGCTTGTTTGTCACTGATGTAATGCCTGAAACAGCCATAAGTTTTCTTCCTATTCTTGCAGTCTACAAAAGCTGATGTGTCTGTCTCATTTCTGCAGCTCACGGACCATGCCACAATGCATAAAAATAGACGTTCTAGCTACTGCTAATGATACAACAATGTTTGCTTGTTTGTTTTCATTTTTTAATTGAAGAATAGCAGTTAAAAGTGACTGTGTTGGGGAGAGCTGCATTTGGTCACAAGTGAAATGTCTCTCGTGATTTCAACTTAATCTTTAATTGACATTAGTCCACAGTTCAAAAAAATATTTGGCACAAGGGAGAACCTCTGAGGAGAATCCTTAGAAAAACAGAGGGTGTTCCAGGTACGGATGAAGGTGTGGCGGCAGGTTTGTGTGGGGCTGGCTGGGCAGAGAGCACCTTGCTCTCTCAAGCTCCGAGTTGCATGAATCGTATAACGCGTAGTGACAGTGCTGAACTCTTACCAAGAAACTGCTGCTAGCCAGCTAGAAAGCGTTTGCTAGAGTAGCTGCAAGGTTTCAAATAAGTGTTTAGCTGCCTGCCGCCGGCATCTTTCTGCATGTGAAGCAACGCAGGGTTCTTTTGGAGCAGATACACAGGCCCTTTAACCAAGCAGCTTGCGTAGGAGGTTATTTCAACGTTTCACCTGCAATACTGGTTTTTAACTTGAAACTGTCAGCTGTAACATTTGTAAAATCTTTTAACTGTAGTGCTGGTCCTGTCTAACCCTGTTTTCTGTGCAAATAGCCAGTAGTCGCAGCAGAGTCGTGTTTTGTATGTCTTAACATACACCTTCATCCTTCATTTCATTCTGTATGTGCCTGTTTGTCTCTGGGGAAGAAAAATGTGCCCTCTGCTCTGCATTGCTAGAGGTGGTCAGACCTGGATGAAATCCAACCCAGATTGCAGGCTGCCTCACAACAGAAAAGTGGTATCTTTTAGAAACTCAAAAGCAATTTAAACTGTTACAATGACTGCTTTTCCTAAATGAGAGTTTTTCACTGAGGAGAGCTGTCCTGGGTGATCCACCTCTCCCTGTAACACGTCCTATGTGGTAATTCAAAGTAACCCCATGTATCGTGTTTGCCTCTTTTCTTTTTAATGGAATGCTTTTTCTTTCCCTTGCTCCAGTCTTATCTCTTCTGTGTCTGTACTTTCCTGACCAGGATCTTTACAGCCATAATGCCCATGGTAGCAGCTGGATTGATTCCAGACGATCCCCCATTGCAGCCCATAAGAAGACTTGTGTCCCTTGTAGGAATTTTTTTTTTTTTAAAACGTTTGGTACCGTGGTTTCCTTTTGCATGACCCCGTGTTAACATGCGCTGCTGGTTGCATTCTCATCGGCTGCCTGTGGGATCACAGAAGAACAAAGTGCCAATCAGAATGACCAGTCAGTGCCCAACCCATCATAGTCCTCCACGCTCATCCTCAAGTATTGACTTTTTATCACCCGTTGCCTTAATGTTACCATGCTAAACCAATCATTACTCCTTAGAAAACCATTGCAATACGCAATTTTAACCAGCATCTGTTAATTTGGCTTACTAAGCGTGCCCATTCACACTTCACACCAGTGCTTTTTAAGAAACCCTTGTCATTCTGATGACTTGGTACAAATCAGTTAGTTAGATTTACAGAATGTAATGGCTGATAGCTACATTAATTTCCAGTGTTAATTACAGGCTGTTGCTTCCGTGTCTTTCTATCCATGCACTGTATATTTTGTCTCTAATTACGTATTTTGGAATAGAGCATACACTCTCAGTAATCAGTTCTACCATCCTATTCTTGGCTGTCCCTGGAAGACGTACCGGTAATTGTTAACACAAAGGCTCTTTGCAGTAGAACTGCTGCTTCAGTGATCTTCATATTTACAGCAGCGACACAGTATTTGAATTCCCTTCCTCTCCACACAGAGGTGCTTTTTCCAGACATCCTCCGTATGAGTTCTCTAGCCATAATAACATTTTTCATCGTTTCAGAAGGAATTAAAAAAAGCCTAACCCTTCTGCTTCATGCAGAGATTTTAGGAACGTATTTTTCTCTTACTTAATTTCATGATAAAGTGGAAAATTACTGAACTTTGACATTTGAAACTCACTTACGTAAATACAGCAGTCTGTTGTGTGGACTTCAGGATACTAAGCCTGGCCATGCAGGACCAAACATGCTCAGCAGAAAGCCGCAGTGACTAGACACTTCTTTTATCAGCTGGAGTTGGATCTGGCCCTGAAAAGACGTAGCATATGTGTGTGAATTTATCAGCTCCTGTGATGAAGGTGGTAGAAAAGTGTGAGGCCAATTAAGTGCAAAAGACTTACTTCACTATTAAGGCTGCACATTTGAAGCCAGGAAATGCAAAAGTTCAGGTCCTGCTAGCAACGTTAGTTATCTGGCATTGCACTGGTGTTGCTTTTTATATCACTTTCTAGTCAAGAAATAATTATTCTTAATATTCTTGATAACCATTATCATCATGCTTACCTGCACATATGATAGGATATTTTTGCAGGAAAGCTGCCTTAAACCTCATCTGCCACTCAAATACAGCCTCCTGTGTGACTAGAGACATGGAAGGCAGAACTCCCTGGTCTGCATGAGGCGGCTTGGAGGGTTGGGACCATGGCGCGGAGGGGAGACTGAGGGCAGTGTGGGAGGAGGAAGGACGCTGAGGACGCTGGGGCGTGGACACAGCATCAGGTTTATGCCCTGACAAATACTCCATCACCTGTCAAAGCTGAGTTTATGTTTGCATAACCTCTTCCTGTAGAAGCATTTGGCAGTTCCTGTCCTGGATGAGGACTGCGTTATACTTGGTACCGTGCACTATTTACCTCCTGAAGTGCACCACTGAAACCAAAAGCGTATGCAGCCAATTCAGACCTTTGGTAGCGGGAACCGCAACTTTTGCATTTCTCAGCAGACCTGAACACTGCACTAACACCCCTTGCACCGAACTCGTGACGAACGTTGAATTTGCCTAATCAAGTAACTTCATCCTATACAAATAAAATGATACCAAGGATTTTTCCAACTGTATTTTTTTAGCTCCGTTGTCAGAGCTTTGTTGTTGTATTAAATGGCTGTTGGTTCACGTGCGTCATCATCTTAGAGCACCCACGCCGTGTGACAGGAAATGACGTGCACACTTGGGCCCATTTGCCTAGAACCTTCATCTTGCAAACTCCTGTGCACATACGTGCGTTTGTTCATTTATTTTTGCAGGAATCAAGACTTACCTGTCAAAATCTGTACACTTGGAAAAAATGTGGAGCCTTATTTTCTTATCTTACAAATTTCCATGCTGAAACCCTTAAAAACTTTCTCTGTTTCTGCTTTATGGTAAATTATACAGATTTAATGGCAAAGATACCACTTTACTCATGCCGAGAAACTAACCTGTATTGTGTCGCTTCGTTATCTCAGGGATGGGGAAGGGGGAATATACGTCTAAAATGACCTTGTAGAGTCAACAGCATTTAGAGCTTATTTGAAGCTTCCATAGCCAAACCGCTTGAGATTGCAATGACTTCATTTCTAATAACATTCTGACATGCACTCCCATCAGGCTTCCCTGCCTTGGTTTTTGCAGATGCAAACGGATTTTTTTGCTCTGTGTTTTGTTGTGCTGTGTATCGCGTCGGGTGTTTGAAGTGTTTTCAGGATGGTAAACAGTCTTCTTTCTCTTCCCTCCCCTCCCCTGCTTCTCCCTTCCTGGAAGGTTTAGTTTCTTCTCTCGTGATAAGAAACGTATGCAGGCATCACAGAAAAATGTGCACTTCCAGGATACTTTTGGAGAATGGTCAAATTCACATAAAGATGACTCCTACACCGAACAAGGACAAGAAGCCCTGCAGCACCTGTGACTAAAACCTTGAGGTCTTCAGCTGACTGCAGTAGATCTCGACACTCTAGTTAACATGAAGCTTCTGTCAGCAAATCTGGCAGCTCGTCACTTTTGTTTGCCTTGCCCACCTCAGCGGCTGTGTCTCCGATGTGCTCTTCAGAAGGGATCCCTCACTGTTCACTTGGTGACTGTTTGCTGAAAACAGAATCCAGGCTTTGTAGTAACAGTCGCTGATGCCCTGGGACATCGAAGCTTCTAGATGACTTGTTTTGTGCTGAGTAACAAGTCCATGGTCTTGTTCATGCATTAACTACAGTAACACAAGCTTCTTTAAACCAAAAAGAAAGGACCTGTGCCATGATTAGAAGTTTGTTTGCAGTGTACAGTATCTAGTGGCAGAGACTCTTTTACCTTTTTTGTTAACACTAGCGGCTGTTTGCTTTTTATTTCTGTAAGGATTTTTTCAGGAGGGATACGACAGCTGGCCACTCTCCATGGGAGGTCGTAGCGCTGCTGTGTCCTGTCAAGTTCAGCTGGCATCTGCACTTTGCAGAGTGGAGATCCACCTGATGATAGAAACTGATAAACTGGAGTAGCCTTGAGAGGGGTACTGAGCGTACGTTTCCCTTGCTGCTTATAGTGCCTAAAGCATGAAGAAACCGATGTATGAGGTGAGCGTGCCTTGCATTTTGCCATGAGTTCTGCAGTGTTAATGGAAAACAAATTGCTTACAAGGAGGAATTCTAACACTTGAATTTTTCCCTTCTTACCAGGGACTTCCCCCTGGAGTAGCAGACAGCTGCTACGGGGTCTCTTTCCCACAGACAGGTTTTTAAAGAAATCACACTCCACTTTTCTGTCTAGGTAAGGCTGCCTAACTTCAGAGTGAAAGACACCCTCAGCTAGCTGACGTGAACTGTTTTAACTGACTCAGAGATGACCCCCACTTAAAACCTTTTCTCTGACTAGTCTAAACACTACCTGGGCAGGGCGGATGCGTTCTGTCCGTGCAGGCTGCTCCACCTGTGCTGGTCGATGCTGGGGCAGCCTGCAGCTACAGCAGCTTCGTTCGCCAGGAAAAGCCCAGCACAGCTGAGCTGCCAGGAGAAGGGATTTTGATCTGCTTTGCCGTTGAGCTTGTGAGACCTCAGCTGTGCTTACAAAAACCATGACACTAACGCCCTGCGCAGCATGGCTGTCGTGTCCAGTGAGGTGTGGGCACGTCACGCTCTCCCCGAAGGCCCCTAACCGGGTGGGAGAGGACGAGCGCGTCTGCGGCCCCTGGCGAGGGAGGTGCTGAGGTCGGATTTCTGCGTGCTAGGAGAGTCCGTGCTGGAGCACAGCGCTGCTGGCGAGGAGCGTATCCTTACAACAAGGCCGGAGGCAACTTCCGCACACACGGCTTAGCGCCAGGGGCTGCGGGCTGCTGCTGGCACCTTACCCCCAGCAACTACATCTGCTCTGTAAAGAGCCTCTTAGGAGTAGCACCACGAGCAGAAAACAGCGCTCAGGTGGGAGTAAAGCTTCAGCTACTCCAGGTACTGAATGTAGGAGGAAGTCTTGGAGAAGTCCTGAGTGACAGCAAGCCAGAGGGTGTAGTGCAGGCCAGGTGTTTTTAATACAGGGTGAGCCAAGACTCAGATTCTTTGATGTCCGTGGGCAGCAAACGGTTCCTAGCCCATCTATAAGGAAACTGTCAGGAGAAACTATTTTTGCAGGGGCGGGCTGAATGCTGACGGTAACTCTGCTGTGTTTTGAACACCTTCACGTGTTCTAGGTAGAGAAGGTGTTTCTTGTGCCTCGCTGGTGTCACTGCAGTTCAGGGCGGGGGGATATGTGGCCTTAGGTGAAAACCACCTGCAGTTGAGATAGTGACGGTAGCGTCTGATGCTGGTATTAGGCAGACACGCTTTTGCCTGGTTACGTTTTGGTAACATATCTTACGTTGTATGCTTACAGAAAGCTGTACCCATAAAACAGCAAGGACTTCCCCCCGCCCTTGGGTGAAAAGCAATTCGTAAATGGGGGGAGTGTCTTAATTTAATGATACTTAAGTTGCTAAGATGTCTATTTCACTTCCATATTAGAAGAAAAAAAGTACACTGCAGTTGGATCAGGCAGCTGACTTGCGACTGATGCCCGTCAACTCTCTCCCTAGCACAGCGTACAGTCACTCAGCAAATTTAGAAGAGCTGCAGTGACCAGAAACAGTGCAGGAATGCAGCAGATGGATGGCCTGAATAAGCCCACCCCTTTTGAAACCAGCTGAGCGCAGTGAGCTGGGGTAACAGGAATACAGACTGCACTGTTTCTGCCCAGCACCGAAGCCGGTGTATTACAGAGGACATCTCCCGGCCTAGTGCCTGGAAAGCTCGTCCCATCCCATCCCGTCCCCTGCGCCAGAGCCCAGGCACCAGTCGGGTCAGATCCGCAGCCGGTCCACACAACGGCACTGAGCAGTACAGCCTCCCCCCACTCATCTCCGTAGCCCATTACCTCAAAAATCTAATTAGTTACTCCTGACCTAGCATTAACCACTCTGCTCCTCGTTCTCGTGTTTGAAATGCTGAGTTTATACACTCCACGCGCCGTCGGAAAGGATGGCCTGTAGGGAAGAGTTTGTAAAGGTTTGAAGATATGTCCTGTGTTGTTTTGCAATATTCAGGTAAAATCTGCTGTTGGAAAAGGGGCCAGGGTGTTGTCAGATCCAGGGTGTAACAATCCTGTCTGCAGCGGGCAGGGTCACTGAAGTTTTTGGGTTGGTTTTTTTTTGGTTTTTTTTTTAGTTGGGCAGTAAATCATTTTAACAGTTTAATAAATATTTCTGAACAACAAGTATTTCCGCAAGACTTGTGTCGGGGTTTTTGTGGACAGTTAACACCATCTCTTCCTGGGGATGTGGGTCTGTGTTCTTTCCTTTGAAAAAGGCTCACACAACTCGTCATGGAAATAAAGCCTCAAACTGGGCGAGGTTTAGGACAGGGCCATTCAAAGGCTGACTAAAGAAACACCGTTTAAAATACTTTGGAAATGTTTAGGACTTGCCTAGGATGACAACAAACACCAGGGAGCCTTTTCCAGAAAGCGCCGTAAGCTCCCCACCGGTCGGCGCGTGGCTGTGCGTACACGCCTGGCTCTGAGAACGGAGATGCTCTGCTGCTGCTTCCCCCGGTTCAGCTACACCCAGCAGCACGCCCAGTTTCCAGCCCGGGATGTGAGCCCCACGCAGGTGGGACTCTGCTCGCAGGGCGGAGGAGAGGGCAGAGCGGATGCAGCTGCAGCCAGGGGTAACCACAACACCCTGGCTGCCCGCGTACTGGTCAGGAACGGGAGCTTCCCGACCTGCTGGCCGCTCTGCAGTGCGCGTTCCTCTAACGGAGCGGCATTACATCCTCCCATGACGTAAAAAATGAGTTTCTTACTACATGCTGCTCTCTCATGTCATATAGCCAGTTAAGGACACAGTATTACTAAAGATCTCGCCTGTCTTCAAGAAAATAAAGTCGCTTCCCATCAGCTCCTGGTTTGGGCCACATTTTTCATTGTTGCCGTTTCATCGCTATTTCTTCAACAAGCGCCTGTTTCGTAACGGGCGTCTGTCTGACTAAACGCGACTGGACACCTGGCACAGAAATGATTAAATGCCGAGCTCTCTCATGACGACTCACCGAGGCAGCCCGCTGGGTACCAGGTGGGACGCCCGTACACGCGGTGCGTTTCTTACAGCATTCACCGGTTCAGAAACATGGACAGCAAAGTTTATTTGATCTGAGGAACGATTCAACAACAGGCGCTGTAACCGCGCTGGCAGCCGAACTGCAGCGCTTCCAGCAGGTGAGAGCTACCGGCAGAAGCAACCAGCGCAGCCCCTTGTTGCGGGAAAACCGCTCGCGGCCCACGCTGAAGGCAGCTTCTGCCACTGGAGCGCGGTGGATGTCAGAGCAGGGCCCACACCCCGACAGCAGGGCACTGTCACCTAGCGATGCTTGTCATCGTCTCTTTGTTTCTTGGCATCT